GAGTGAGAATATGCAGTATTTCTCTTTCCTTGTCTGCCATATTTCAATTAATATAATTTTCTGCAGACTCATCCATGTTGATTCAAATGGCAGAATTTCATTCTTTTTTATGTCTGAGTAATATTCTATTGTGTATATAAACCACATTTTCCTTATCCCATAGTCTGTCAAGGTACGTTTAGGTTGGCTGTATATTTTGACTATTGGAAATAGAGCTTTGATAAACATGGGAGTGCAGGTGTCCATTTGACATGAAGATTTCCATCCCTTTGGATATAAATCCAGTAGTAGCATTGCTGGATTATATGATACTTCTGTCCGTGGTTGGTTGAGAAGCCTTCATAATGGCTATACTAATTTATGGTCCTACCAACACAGTAGAAGTTTTTTGATTTCTCCACTTCCTCACCAGCATTTGTTATTCACAGTCTTTTTAATAATGGCCAGTCTATCTGAGATGAGATGATATCTCAGTGTGGTTTTGATTTGCATTTTCCTGATGATTACTGATGCTGAACATTTTTTCATTTATATGTTTGCCATTTGCATATTTTCCTTTGAAAAATGTCTGCTCATCTCCGTTGCATGTATTTCAATTTGATTTTTTGTATTTTTTTTTTTTTTTTTTTTTTTTTTTGCTCTATAGGTGTTTGAGAACCTATGCATTCTGTATATTAATCCCTTGTCAGATGTCCAGGCAAAGACTTTGTGAATAAGATCTGAAAAAAACAAGCAACAAATAAAAAACATACAAATAGGATTATATCATTTACAAAAGCTTCTGCACATCAAAAGAAACTATCAACACAGCAGAAAGACAAACTACAGAATGCAAGCAGTTTTCTTGAAAGCACAGATTATCTGTGATTACACAGCAGGACACCTCTCACATCTCACACACCTAATGTCAGAGGACATGGAGACAGCGCCACCAGCTGCAGAGCACTGAGATGGACACACACATTGGAGCCTGGGGTCAGACAACAGTCAGGGAATGGGCTGAGTAGTGTGGTCCAAACCCTGAACCCTTGTGATGCAATGACCAGAGGACACATATACAGGCAAATATCAGAGCCTTAAGTTTGGGAACAGACCTGAAGCAGGATGGAGATAGACATGTTCCTCTGAAAACACTTTTAGGGGAAAATTACTAAATCGCATTAGCAAATGAACTGAGTTTTCTAATTTGGACCCTGGACACACATCAGCAGATGTGTTTCTATATTTCAACTTAGTATGATTATTAGTGGAAACATTTTAAAACAATTACTTGTGGCTTTACTTTACGTACAGTCACAGTCTCAAAAATTATCATGCAGATCAGATGTGAACTTCAAAGGGCTGACAACATATTATGCAAATAGTAAATCAACCAGTGTCACACTCACTTTTGTATTTAAAGGGGAATTTGAAAGTGATTCAGAGTATTTTAGTTAACATTTACTAATTTCCTCAAGACCCTGTTACATTTGAATTTGAACTGGATTATCCTGTATGGGAAAGTCTGATAGGAAGACACGGCACAAACTATGACATGGTGATTGGTTTGTTACCAAGAATCAAAAGTGTGCAGTTTATAGTGTTATATTCAGACATAATTAAACTTCAATAAAGCCTTTGTCATAACATCTAATTTTTAAAATGAGCATTGCTCTGGCAGGTATTTTGATTGTGGATTTCTGGCACTGCATTCCTAACCATCTTGTATTCACGTACTTAAAACGTTGGACAGCAAATACTACTAAAAGCATGCACTTTTTTGTAATGAAAACTCCCATTTTGCCACTTCTTTCACCTTTCAGTCTATTTAAACTTAGTCCAATTACAGGCACATTTTGAGGTGTTGTGGTGGGTGACTGTTTGATCTCTAGGGTTATTCTGGATCCATACTTCCCCTTTCTTCTCTGCCTGACAGGTCTATTCTTAAATCTGTCCTCTTTTTTCATCTTGATAATTTTCTTCATCTCTCTATTTCTTCTATATTGATGATTCCATATATATAGAGATTTATATATTATCTCCTCAGTTCAAATTTCTGCTGGTTTCGAATGACATAGATGTTTGGTGATTTATTGTTGTTATTATTATTTTTTATTATTTATTTTTTTTTCCTTAGGGATTCACTAAAAATACTAGTCATATTAATTATTACTGTTAATGACATAATAGTTTTTTTTAACATTCTTTAATTTATTTAAAGGACATTAATTTTTTTTTTTCCTTTTTGTCTTTTTTTACTGACCGGTGATGGGATCGCAACCCTCAGTGTCGCGCCCGTACCGGGGACCGGCAACGGGATCGCAACCCTCGGTGTTGCGCCCACACCACGCTCGGCCAGTGAGCGGGAACCGGTCTCCACATGGGATCCGAACCCTCGGCGGGAGCGACGCCGCACTCCCAAGCGGCACACTCTCCAGTGCGCCACCGGGCCGGCCCAAATATTTCCCTTCTTTTTTTTTTTCTTTTTTTTTTTTTATCTTTTTTGAGACCGGCCGCACCGTGCTCAGCCAGTGAGCGCTGTGAGCATGCCGGTCATCCCTATATAGCATCTGAACCCGCGGCGGGAGCGCTATTGCACTCCCAGCGCTGCACTCTCCCGAGTGCACCATGGGCTCGGCCAAAGGACATTAAAATTTTATTGGCTGGTTCTTTTCCCACTTTTCTGACATTCCATCTGAGAACATTTTTTTCATGAATATATTTTCTCTTTTCAGTGGTGTGAGGCTCTTACTGAATGTATTTCCAATACTATAATTATCTTAAAATATTTTTTACAGTAGATCTATCCAAAAAACACAACACTCATTCCAAGTTAGAAATCAGCACGTGTATGAGGCCTGCAGGACAATTATGATACAAAGAAACAGGGTGTGATGCACTAACTCTCAAACACACAGGGCCATCCTGTCACTTTGTACTATGGGAGATTCTTCCTGCACAATGTGACATTTCAGAACAGAACTGTGAAGTTTCACATTTTATGCTATTACAAGGAGTTGTTCAGAATCAATCAAATGCAGAGTACCAGGTAGATTTTCAATAAAGGCCAATGGTGTGTGTGGGGGGGAGAGAGAGAGAAACAGAGGTGACACAGGCTCAGTGTGTCAGGCTCCAGTCCACACACACCTATCCTTTATCCTGAAATAGCAGATAACACACACTTTTAATCTTTTGCTGTAAGTCAGGGCCATATGACTAATTGTGCCAAAGGAAATGTACACAGTTATCACATACACTTTCACAGCCTGGCTAATTAACTTAGCGTTCTACAGGAGGAAAGCTCCAGTTATGCAGGATGAACAAGGTCTAGAGATCTGCTCTACAACACTGCGTTCGTTGTTAACAATCCTGTGTCATGCACTTAAATTGTGTTATTAGGGAGACCTCATATCGAGAGTCTTTCCATCAGTTAAAAAATATTCCACCTGAAATTCATTATTCCCTCAACTTCTGTTTTCTGTTAACTGTCTGTCCACAAGGTGTAGATCTGGGGTCTCACACCAGTGGAGTCTTGGTTCCTGAGTGTCATTATGAATCAGTCACCTCTTCTCACAGCAGCTTCCCTCCTGAGCATGTTAGAAGAGAAATGAACAAGATGTAGATCTTAGTTCTTGGACCTTATTCCACTGAGATGCTGGGCTGTTTCTCCATGAGGCAGAGCATCCTGATAATTTATCCTGGACAAACAGAGGTGGGCAACGAGGACTCTGTAGATTCAACTGTAGGCCTGAAAAAAAAAAAAAAAACGGAAACTTAGATGCACATACACAGAGTTATTTAAACTCTCCTCTCTGATAATTCTAGAATCTCTGTCATATCTTATTCCGGTTCTAATACTTCCTTTGTCATTTCAGAGTCTTTGTATTTCATCACCTTTTACCAGGTCTTTTAACATTTTGATAAAATTCCAACACAATGTATGAGTCAACATGACCTGAAGAATCATCCCCAAATTGTCCATCAACTGCTCCTGTCTTGTCATTCATTCAGGACTCTTGAAGGGCTGTCCATCCTTGGGACTGAAATGGTGTTGACAGGGGCAGACAAATCACAGCATCCAGCCCTGTCCCTGGCATCTTTCTCTGTGGTGGGCAGTCATCCAGAGAGTGATGCCCACAGACATGGACTGGCTCTGATGCCCACAAACAGGTGGACATCAAGGGAAAATGTGTTTCTAAAAGTTTAGTAATAGGGATGTTATTACTGCTTTTATGTTAACCATTGTAATTGTTTTTATTTTTTGATATCTGATGAGAATGGTGGATTAAATGAAGGATTAAAACCCATAAAATGTGCATGAGAAATGGATATAAGTTGAAAATGTGTACACTTTAGATGGACAGGAATGACCATGGAATAGAGGCATTTAAGATTTTTATCTTTCCCAGATATTGAGAATCAGTGTCCTCAGTAACGCACTGGGCATTATTTGCTGCAGAGTCTCTGTGGGTTCTGATGTGCTGTGTCTTGTATGGCAGGATGGAAAACATAAGGCAGGCATGTAACTCATGTAACAACACCAGTATAACAAGTAACAACTCTCAGGTGTGATGAGAACAACATCACAGGAGAGGGTTCAGGGAAAGAAACCAGGGGTTGTGCTGAGACCAGAACTGTAGAAGCAAGACCCAGAGCCTGAGTTTATGTGGGAGAGTTAGGCTGGGTCCAAGTCAGCACAGAACACAAGGGCTGAATGAAGGTAGATCTGGGCTCGGAAAGCTAGGGCCACGTTATGCCATGTAGCTCACCAAGTTCCTTTCCATACCATAAATACATGTCACATAATTTCAAGAAAAAAAAAAACAAACATAAGCATTTCAAAAAATACAATAGTTCTCACCTCAGTTCCTCAGCACTTATAAGGACAGAGCTCCCCGACATGCAAACTTTCCTTCAAGCTCCAGGGGAAATGTGTACACTTGAGCGGTGGAAGCTCACAGGTCTGTCCTCAGACAGGGCTCAGGTCTCTGGGGGAAGGCAGAGTTCACATCAAATAGAAGATGAGACTATGGGGTCTTCTCCTTTGCCTGGTGACAGCTCCCCAAGATGAATATCTCAGATGTCACACATGGGTTCTGAAAAGTTTGTTAGTAAATGTGTCTGACAGGTTCTGATTCTCCTTGTCTCCAGGTGTCCTGTCCGAGGTGCAGCGGCAGGAGTCGGGCCCAGTACTGGTGAAGCCCTCGCAGACCCTCTCCCTCACCTCCACCATCTCTGGTTACTCCGTCACAACCAGTAGTTCCTACTGGAACTGGATCCGCCAGCCCACGGGGAAGAGCCTTGAGTGGATGGGATACATTGCTTATGATGGAAGCACATATTATAACCCGTCCGTCAAGAGCCGCACCTCCATCACCAGAGACACGACCAAGAACCAGTTCTTCCTGCAGCTGAGCTCTGTGACCGACGAGGACACAGGCGTATATTACTGTGCCAGAGACACAGTGACAGGAAGTCAGCACGAGCCCAGACACAAACCTCCTTGCAGGATACAGGAGGGGTCTGGGCTGCAGGGGGCGCTCAAAGCCCACCCAGCTCCTGTGCCCCGTGGAGCAGGTGCAGTTAGGGGATGGGGGGTTCCTCTTGGGGACTGAGGTTTCCTCTGCTCTGCTGACTCCCAGATGTCCCTCAGGGTCATTCCCTGCTGTTCTTTGTGACACTAATTCCCATGTTCTCACTGCAGGCAACACAGAGTGAAGTAACTTTTCTCATCTGTAGATAAGATTTTTCCATTCACTGGGAGCTTTCTTGTGTTAGGTGTTAACATGAGCTGTCCTCTTTCCTTAGAAATAAATCATTGTAAGGATTCTTATCTTTCCTTTATCAATAATAATTTTCTCTAGAGGTTATCTCAGTCTAGGTGAACACTGTCCCTCATTGGGCCTTCCCCTCAGTCAAGCACACATGTCTCCACATGCTTATGCTCATCATAAAAAGACCTCTGCCCATGGCGTCTCTGTCCTCACTGAGGAATTTTAGCCTCTGGATCCTCATCCACACCATGGACACTGATGTTCAGGATTTGTCCCACTCTCTCTCCTTCCCTCAGTGTCCTGGTTGGAGAAGCAGCTGCCTGAGGGCCGACACAGCTCTGATACTTCCATGTGCAGGATTCAGGGTGACAAGCACCGAGATAATCAATCAGAGCCCTGCTGGGCTGAATTTTGGGCTGGGATCAATGTACCCTTGGTAACTGTGTTCTAAGACATGTCTCTCAGCTTCCATGGGGAGAAGATAATACATGTGGATAATGAGAACCAGATGGACAGAGTCCTGAGACCTTCCCACTCCCCACTCTGCTGCCCCCATGCATCCCCCACACACTCACCCTAGTGTCACCATCTGTCTTCTATTGTGCAAATTCCCACTTGATATGTCCCCAGATGCTCAGCTCCAAAGGTCTAGAGCCCTGCTCAGTTCCTGTTAACTCTCCCTGTGCAGGTGCAGATCCGAGGCTCAGTGATGAGGATGAGCCGTGAAGGCAGAGACCTCACGTGGTGCAGAGCAGGAAACCTACGGCTTCCATAAATTTCAGGAAATGAGGACATGTCAAGTACAAAGGAGGTGACATAACAGCATGATTCACGGTGGAAACACGGGCAGGCTGGAAAGCACACTGTAAATAGGATAAGATGTGCTATAGACTGGATGAAATGTCCCTTGATGTCTTTCTTTTTGTCTCCTCTGTGGACTAGGTTTTCCCAGAGACTGAATAAGTGCTGTCTAAGGTGCATTGGCTGTTTTAGTTTTTCTCTGTTATTACACAGAAGCCCTGTTGATGTGGGTAAGGTGTGGGGTAGGGGAAGCACTGCACATTCCTATGATGACTTCTGTCCTTTAGTGACCGTGTCCTGGGTGTGACATTCACAGATGCTTCTCCTTTATTCCTCCCTTAGTGTAGACTAGAAGGCTCTCAGTGCTGGGGGATGGAGTTGGCTGTTTCTCTTCTCTCAGGTCAATTATGCTCTGTATGAGTCCCAGCCTATTAGAATCAGCTAATTTAGTTCCTCTTGAGGTCAAGCCTTGTTATAAATAACATCGTGCTGCTGGTGGTGGAAAGAAATGCTGGTGTGTTTCAGAATGGCTCCTTTCCCCCTTTCTCTGTTGGGAGCATGAGGATTCTTTTCTGATCTCATCTTTGAGAAGGTAGTAGAGACACTGAGGTAGAGTTTAACAGTTTTGGGAATCACTAAGACCATCCCCCTGCGGTGCACCCAACTCTCACACGTGCCCACTCTGAGTCTTCAGCAATTCTTCAGCTAAAGTCCTGGTTTTTCTACCCCTATCATTGATCCCAGGTAGCTTTTTGCTTATGAGTTTCTGATCAGACAAGCTGTGACCCTCGGTGTCTTCCTGGCTGCATCTTCTATTTTGGGGACAGCTGTTCACCCTGTGACTTCACTTCTTTTACTCATATAACAAGAGTTACTGATTTTCAGTCTGTTCAGTGTTTTTCTTGTTGTCTGGTCGGCAGCGATGACGTCCAAGCTTCTGACGTGCAAGTCCTGAAACCAGAACACCTCGTGTCACACCTGAAGAACAAGGACTGTGTGTGTGTGTCCTCATGATTGTTGCTTGTTTACATCCACTTGTCACATTGAAGGTGTCGAGTAGGAGCTGTGCTGGCAGCCGTGCTCACCTCGTTCCTGATTATGAGGGACGCCCTGATCGAGCTGTGCTGGCAGCGAACAAGGACTGTGTGTGTGTGTCCTCATGATTGTTGCTTGTTTACATCCACTTGTCACATTGAAGGTGTCGAGTAGGAGCTGTGCTGGCAGCCGTGCTCACCTCGTTCCTGATTATGAGGGACGCCCTGATCCTTCACCACTGTGTGGTCTGAGAGAGGATTTATTTCTCCTTCAGTTTTTATTAATATTATCTTAACTGACACATCACAATTGTATTCATTTATGGGGAACCATGTGATTTTTGATAAATGTGCATAATGTGGAACAATTAGGTCAAACTAAAAAAACAGATCCATCACTTCACCGTTATCATTTTTGTGGTGAGATTTTGAAATTACTGTCTTGGTTATTTTGAATTTTTCAATCTATTATTATTGGCTATAGTTGCTGTGCTGTTCAATAAGTATCAAATATTCTTTAATTCTCAGGTGGAGGGACCGTATGAGGACATGCTGGTCTCCTTCACTTTTGCAGGATCATTTAGCAGAATATAGATTCCTGGGACGTGGTGGGTGCAGCTTCCAACACTTTAAACATTTGAAAACTCTCCATTTTTGTTTGCGTGGATTCTGACCTGAAGTCCTCTGTAACTCGTATAACTGTTGTCATATATGTTAGCATTTCTAAACCGAACCTCTGTATGTTCTGTAGTTTTAGTATTGTCAGGTCTAGTATTGGGCTCACAGTTGTGTATATGTGTATGTTTGTGTATGTGTCTGTATGTGTGAGTGTGTATGTGTGTGTGCATGCAGTGTGTGTGCATGTATACGTGTGCATGTGTGCATGTTTCATTGCTGTCATTTTATCTATCTTTCTGGTGCTCTGTGGGCTTCCTTAGTCTTCATTTTTGCATCTGCCACCAATTCAGGAAAATTCTCATCCATTGACACTTAAACTGATTCTGTTCTGCTCTCCTTCTGTATCATTAGTGATCCTATCACATGCACGTTAGCTATTTTGCATTGAACATTTTGACATTCTGCCAGCTTATTTACGTTCTATCTTATTTTCAAGTTACTTTATTTTTTCAATTCAATTTGACATCTTCTATTGTTATTCCATCATGAAAGTCACTGACTCTCTCTTTGGCAGTTCTATTCACTGATGAACCCAAAAAGGGAATCCTGCATTCCTATAATGATGCTTTGTTTTTTTAGCTTTTAAGTTTTGTCCTTTCTATTATTTCCATATTTTCTTTATGTTATACACTTGCACTTACATGTTGTCTATTTTTTTTCTATTATTTGCCTTGACCTACACATGACCAATCACAAATATAATTCACAATGTGAAACTCCCCATATGTGGCATTCTGCGAAGCGGGTGGGAGAGCAAACGTGACTAAGTCACACTTCTGATTTCCCCACATGGACAAAGTTTCCTCAGGCAGAATTAATGTGACCTTGGACCTTGGGTTCCAGCACAACCTGGGAAGCCAGGAGCACCTGCATATCCTCCACCAATCTCAGAATCTCACCTGAGAACAGCTTCCTTGTTGGCGTTTAAGATCTGACAGTTCTTGGTACTGGTGTGAGGGCCCAGAAGTGCCTACTGGATCCAGCCCAGGAGTGGAGATGCCCTTCAAGACCACGCATGACCTGAGATGGAACTGGATCCTCACCTCGAGGGCTTTTGGATATTTTTTATTTATCTGGTGAGAAATGAAATCTCTGAGACATTTTCTAAACTGCCCTACTGTGTTGTTCCTCTGTGTTTCTCCAGGATCAATCAGGTCTAACCAGGTGCCACTTGCCATCAGTGATATTAAGTACCTGCTACTAGTAATAGGCCAAAAATGATCTATGAGGGTTCTTCTAATTTCTGTTCAACATGTGAAGACCTTGGAAATCATTACTACATTTATATGATATGAAATATTTGAACAAACTGAACAGTGATGCATTTTTTGATCCATTAGAGAGCTGACATTGTAGGGGAAATGACCACCCCAATAACTGGAGACACAGGTGAATCCAGAATGACAGGTGGAAAGTGCTTACCTGGAACAATGTGTCAGAGGCAGAGAGTGGTAGGAGCAGTTACATGGTGATTAACGTGAACGGCTGAGTAACACCCACACACAGAGGCAGGTGCAGAGAAGGGCTCCCCCAGGGCTGTGGGTGCTCAGAAAACTCCCTCATTTCCTCCTTCCTCTATAACCACCAGTGTGCGTTTCACAGGAAGACACCTGGGGAGGACGGGGCCACACAGATAGACAGCACAGAGGTGAATTTAGAGATGCTGTCATGAGGCCCAGGGCAGAAACATTCTCTGGGGATGCTGAGATGTAGTTCCTCCTTTCCTGAACATTCCCCTTTTGATCCCTGAAGAGCACCCATGTGTATCAGTCCAGGTGTAAATTGCCCAGTAGGGCTCCCAGCAAGATCCAGGATGAGGCTTCCCTGCTCAGTGTCCTATCCAGGCTTGCCAGTATGTCTGAGGGGATGGAGCCCTTCTGGACCCTACTTGACTCTGTGGCACTTGTGTCCTGTGAGTATCTCCAAGCTCAGAAACTGCTTCTCAGTGATGTGTCTGTGTTTAGCTCATTGTAACTCTTGTTCCAGGTGTGAAGTCTGAGGTGCAGCTGCTGGAGTCCAGCGAGGGTTGGGGAAGCCCTCCCAGACCATCACCATCACCTCCACTGTGTCTGGCTTCCCTCTCTCTGATTACCACATTTTCTGGATTCACCAGGCTATGGGAAAGAAGCTGGAATGTGCGGGAAAAATGCACAATGATGGAAAAACTAACCACAGCCCAGCCTTCATGTCTTGTGTCACCCTCACCAAAAACAACTCCAAGAGCCAAGTGTATTTGCAGCTGAGTCACATGACAGCTGAGGACACAGGCATTTATTACTGTGCAAGAGAAACACCAGGAACCACAGTGAAGGTTGCACAGCAAAAAGCTCCCCTCGACACTCCAGGAAGGCACGGGCCTCAGAGGGGGATTAGACACACTGGGTGGGCTCAGGAGCAGGTGCAGGAGTGTCTGAGAGAATGTTCCCTGAAGGGTCTTGAAGTTTTCACTTCATCCAAGCCCATGCTCACCATAGTGGCGCTTCCAGCTTTTGTTTCAGGGTATCTCTTGTCTTCCCCAGAGCCAACACACAGAGAACAACTCCTCAGTTTTTCCGGTAAAGACAGAAGGACAGAGAATCAGTCCCCTTTGAAATGACCACTGGCTTCTCTGTGCCCTGAAATTTGGATGTGCATGTGCTTCTTTTAACCCTGTCCACTCCCTTCTTCTTTGCCCTTTATCCTGATGACAGTGAGTTGAACCTTCATGAATGTGGGCATCTCAATCAAAAAACCAGCTGTACACAAATTATCACTTTACTTACCCTTATGAAAAATGTAAAATAAATCCAAATATAAAAGTTGCCTTTAATATCTGGCCTGGAATAAACAGCTAGAATCCAGTGTTTTGCTACTGAACATAAACAATTTCACGCACACCCTCAAACACACACACTCACACAGAATAGAGATTATGAGAATTTTTCATCAGATGTGTCTTGCAAGTACTAAAAGACGTCCTTCAGGCCAAAGCAAGTGAAGCCAGATGGAACTCAAGTCCAGAAGAAGAAATGGTGAATGCAGAATATGATAAATGAGTGGGCAAATTTAATAGACTGTTAAAATTTGCTTTCTTTTTTCTTTTCTTAAAGTAAAAGTCACCGGATATTTAAGAAAGATGCCAAGCCAATGTGGAACACATTTACATTTCAACAAATGTTATTGAAAAAATCAATTATCTTTATGCAATAGAAAATCCATGCAGACCTTCATGTGACACGTCATTTAAAAAATAACTTTAAATGCATCTTACAGCTCAATGTAAATTGAATTATAAAATTTCAATAAGAAACTATAAACAAATATTTTCAGAAAATCAAATTGGCAAATGATTTATTACATATGGCACTAAATGCATAGTTATTAAAATATTTTATACAAGCCTCCATTAATATTATTTTAAATCAAATAACAGCATTAATAAAACAAAATGAAAAGATGTGGAGTGAAAAATAAATATTTACCAATCGTATATCTGATAAAGATTTTATAATGAAAATATATGAAATCTTACAATTCAATTGTACGAGGACAGTCAAGTAAAAATGAGCAAAAACAGGCAGAATACATGAACAGGCATTTTACTCAAGAAAGTACAAAGTAGTGTAACTGTAGCCCTTCCACTTTTGCCGTGTCTTACTGTGCATGATTGGCAGGTGACAGTTACTTGCAGCCACCACTTTTTCTGGTCTTGGAAAGGTTTAAAAAACTCTCTTCCACTTTTTCATCAGCTCTCTCTGCTGTTATTGGCTGACACTGAAATGTTCTGTCTTGAACCCGAAAAAAGAAATGTTATTCCTCCAGCGTAATCTGATCCTGCACTCTTGGCTTTTTCTTGATATGTATGAATTGTTGCTTTCATAACCTTGGACACTACCTGTGTATGATTAAATTCAAAATATATTTTCATCTAATATGACTTATAGGTTATTTAAATGGTCTAGCTGTAAGAACAATCACAATACAGGAGGTTTTTCTTTCCCTTTTGTTAACTGGCCTAATAAACAAACATTTAGCTGTTTTTCAAAAGAATTTCCGATGTTGTCCTTATTAGGCTTGTGATTACTTAGAAAGGCTGAACTCTGACATAGTTAAGGTGTTTCCATCTGTGTAACTTCCTGAGTTGTTTTGAAGTTGCATTGCTGCACTGTCTGGCTCCTGCCTGCATAGCCAATTGTCTGGCTAGTTGACTACGCCCATTGTATTGCTGGGGAAATTCATAACTAAAGCCAAGATGTTTCATTATTTTAGTTACACTAAGTCTTCCATTTGTATTTTCAGGGCTAAAGCTAGGGCTAGGTGTTCACAGACCCTTCAAACCCATTGTACAGACTGAGTCGCAGACCCCTCACATGCCAGGCGGGGTCACCAGACCACACATATGAGTCACCAGACACCTCACACGCAGGTCCACGCTACGTAATTGGGAGAGATCCTGGGAGCCATTGGCAGTT